TCTATCTACAACTGATACGAGTACAACAAAGCGAGGGAGTATTAACCGAACTGCTGGGAATAGAAAATAAAGGAAATATATTGTACACATCCAAGATGACGTCCATCAGCAAATCGGAGGACAGGGAATTCTTCCCTTCAACTCCTTACCGTCCCCCTAACACGGAGTTATCTCCAGATTACTCCCCGAGGAAATCCACCGGGCTGATGGCTGGAATAGAGACGGCTGTCGACTGATCTGACACATGCTGATTTTCGAGTGACATGAAATGTAAGAAAAGAAAAAAAAAAGAAAGAAAGAAAGCAAAAAGCAAAGAGTCTTACAAAATACCCCAAAGAGGAAGCGGTGAAACCCTGACGATTTATCGAATTTGATAGATCATAATAATACTCCATACTTCGTACTATCAAATGGAATTCATATGTTGTATTGATATGTATCTTAAGATCAAGCTTATAGATGGAATAATATTCCACCTGGATTATCTGCACGATCATTGGTACCACACATATTCCCACAATGGAGCCCCTGTTTGCAGCCACTATATCCACTTGTACGCAACGGTCCAAGGGCAGACAAGAACGGCCCCTCGGGTCGACACGCTAGGCAAAGCACGGAAACGCATGAATATTAATGGTCGGCCCGATTTTAGAATGACTTTCACATGCAGCAATCCAGGAGAAGAGTATGAAAGAATGTGACCGGAAGGCATCCGGAAGGGTGGTGTAACTATAGTGAAAGGGTAGAAAGTACGATAGATTACATTCAATGTACGACGTATATTTGGTATAAAGTAAAGTAGATAAAGCATATAAAAGAGCTATAAAAGAGTAAGAAAGTAAAAAAAGAAAAGAAAAAAAGAAAAAAGAAAGTAAAAAATAGCCAAAGAAGTCAAGTAAAAGAAGTGGATTATCCCAGTGGAGAAGTTCTATTCTTCCATCGACCTTCCACCTTCCATTTGAGCCCGTAAAAGTGCAACTCCCGGCCTCCCACCGAAAACTACCCAGGGCCTTAGCCCCTTCGATTATTATTGCTTGTCTTATTTATCACTCCACTACTCTCTGCCTCTCTCTCTCTTCTTTTAATATCTCCAACTCTTGACCCCTTCTCTTCCTTTTACTACCTGTTTTCTTTTTTTCTTTTTCCTTTTAAGCCTTCTTTTCCCTGGAACCTGGTCACTGTGTGGACCCGCATACCAGTCTTTCGTCATTATCCAGTCACAGCATGCCTTGGGACAATGGACTAAAGATGCTGGTTATTGCTTGATCAGGTCCACCATGGATTTCATTGTGAGTAAAAACCAAATAGTACAATATATTATGAGCTTGGACTGACCGTCTCAGCTCTCTTTGACGCACTTCTGCGAGGTGCATGGTCCTACCTCTATCATTTGCTCGCAGGTCCTACCTTTTTCATGCCCGCAATGTCACCCCGAACCCGATCACTCTCCCCAGGGTACCCCAGCTTCACACGAATCTCGTTTCGACCATGAGTCTCGATCTCAGAAATCTGCCGAGTCCAAGTCGCCCAGAATTGAAGATCACCCGTACTTCCTTAAGGGACATCCGGCCACCCCCGAAGAAAAAGCCAACCGAGGTGGCGCAAATGGAGATACCTGCGCCAGTTGTAGCTTGTCTCTGCCAGAAAATGTCAGCAAACAGCTACCTCCCGGTGCGCCTGGAAGTCGCGACGCCAAAGGCAATACCACTAGCCCGGTACTCCGCTCCCGCGAGCTAGTTTACTCATGCGGCAACAACCATTCAGAGTTGGACGACGAGACCGACTATCACACCCATGCTTCTCCTCCCGACTCACTTCACTCTGCCTCAGTTGCCTCCGATGCTTCATGTCACACACACATCCACACCTATCTCTCTCAGCGCGGCCCGCCCAACCCCGCTGACTATGCACTCCTCCGACGCTCCTCCATTCGCACCCTAAGCTGTGAGCTCTTGCCCCGGGGACTTTCATCCGGCCCCATCTGCTTCGGCGACGGAGTGGCTGGTTACACAATCGCCTACATTTTCCGCCTTCCAGACCCCATGGCCCGCGGCAAGCGACGCAGTTATGCACTGGTCGCATTGGCGGGGCGCGATGCCGGAAGAGCATTCCGCGCATGCCCCATCATCTGGCGCGCATTCGGTCGCATCGCAACTAGCATTGTTCACGCTGCTGAGCGCTTCCAGGAAGACGAGAAGACCCGCGATGAGCAGAACAACCCGGGAAGACAGCCCGGCCGCCAGTACCCTCCCGTTTCATCCTTCCTCACCGGCCGGGGTATGGACCCGGCAGGTCGGCGTGCAGCCGGCCAGATTCGTGCCCGTAATTTGGCCGAAATAGTCGGCAATGAATACATCTTCACCGAATTACATGCTCATTTCGTCGCACTTCTACAACAGCTGGGCTCAATGTTTGGCGGAATCCCTCTCAACGAGGAACGCTTTGTTTGCAGCACGGTGGGCGACGAAGAAAGCGCCAGCCCTTCTCAGCCAGTCCTCGTCTCCAAGGCAAGACAGCGAAAGGACGACCAGAAGTATGATGGCAATGACATCGACATGTCGAACCTTGAAATTTCCGCGGGACCCAAGGCGATTCCCATTGCGCCTCGCCGGCCCGTCATGGCTTGAAATATTCTTTTCATCATTTGCATGAACCTCTTATTGAGATACCCGCCTGCTTTGTTACTTTTGTTTTTCAGGCAACTTCAACTTTGACTTGTATTTTTTTTGCGTTTTTTGCGTTTTTATCTCGGTTGGCAAGGTGTTTCGACTGATTTCTGCATTGCTCAACTTGCATACGGATTCGGTCTTATTTTTTTTGCGATATGGGCATGGGCATAAACAATGGCGTCTGACAAATACGGAACGGAGTTTCTTGTTTACCAGCCTTGATTTCAGTTTTTTTTTTTTTTCACTTGAAGTGATATGCTTCTTCTCTTGGGGACCTCGTTCGATCATGGAGTTCAACGATTCAAGCACGTCTGTTTAGCGGGTTCCATTCTTGGGACTGGTGCTAGGTTATGATTGAGATGTCATCGCACGAGGCATTCAAGAGATATGTATTCTATGTATTATTTGAACACGAATCAATCAATGGCCATTGGCCACTTTTTCGGAGACTCGAGTTTTACTGTATGTGCATGTGTTATAGTCCGGAAAAATTCCGGGTAAAGGTACCCTTTTAGGTTAATCCGGCCACGGCCACAATCAAACCTTGGAAAATCCCACCAAAAAGAACAGCAGAGACAAAAGACCCGCATCACCTCCCACCTCCCTTCAGCAATATCAAAATGGTCGCCTTCGACAAGTGTGAGACCCGGCCAGCCCATATTGAGGCCATCCTCAATGGCCTTGACCGGTACAACCCCGAGACCACCACTGTCTTCCAGGACTATGTCTCCCAGCAGTGCGAGGACCGGTCATTTGACTGCTACGCCAACTTGGCCCTGCTCAAGCTGTGAGTTGGACCCTTTTTTTTTTTGAAAGCATTGCATGGCGAAAATTCTATTTGAGAGGCTCTACTACGATGAGTAACTTTCGAGCGTTTCCTATTACCTGACATGCCCATAATATACTTGGGCATGTCGAGAAATTCTGTGAAGATACTGAACGAGAAGAACCCATGCATTGGTTGAAACCATCAGCATGGCATACTCCTCGCAAACACCTCGAATCATCGTGAAATTCTCGAATTCAAACTGACAACAACCTTTTTCAAAAAATCCAGCTTCCAATTCAACCCCCACCTTATCCAGCCCGATACCGTGACCAACATTCTGGCCAAGGCCCTGACCGTGTTCCCCTCGCCCGCCTTCTCGCTCTGCCTCGCCCTGCTCCCAACAAACACCCAGCCCTTCCCCACCACCACCGAAGCCCAATCCGCCTCGCAGACCTCCGACTTCGTCGAGTCCGTGCAGAAGCTCACACGTCTGTCCACTCTCCTCGAGTCCGCCCAGTACGCCCAGTTCTGGTCCACCCTGAACTCGGACGACCTGTACGCAGACCTGACCGCCGATGTGGCCGGCTTCGAGGAGCTCGTTCGCATCCGAATCGCCGTCGAGGTCGGCAACACCTTCCGCTCCATCACTGCCGAGAACCTGGAGTCCTGGCTCGATGTCCGCAGCCGTGACGCGCTTGACAAGTTCGTTGTTGACGTCTGCGGCTGGAAGGTTGATGGCGCCGTCATCCGTGTGCCTACCAACAAGGAGAACGAGGCCCGCTCCGAGGTTAAGAGCGAGCACGTCGGCATCGAGCAGTTCGGTCGTGTCATTCGTCGTGGCTTCGAGTTGCCCGCATAAGCGCTTACTGCGGAAGCTCTCTTTATTCTTGAATCTTTTCTCGCGTCGATTCGAAATGTTTCACTTCTTTCCTCTTTTCGTATCACCTTTTTTTTAAAAATCTTCAAAAAGCTGTGCGAGGGAAAATTTGATTTCCATCCATGACATGAGTTCATGAATCCCACCCCCGATCAAGTGACGAACAGACGATAGATTTCGCATGGAGGAGGGGCTCGGAGATGAGTCGGGACCTGGCGCATCTGGCGTTTTTTTTTTTTTTTTTTTCCATTTCTCTTGTCTGTATTGGATTCTTTTTTTTACTTGTCCGTGCAAATATTTGTACTGGATAATATGAGGAAGAGAGAAAGATGTCATGTCCATACCATAACATAACTTCAGTCGTGCCTCCATGTAGGGCCGGCTTTGCTGCCAATATCAAAAATCATACAGAGCCAGTTCCAGATGTAGTGTCATTACGGAGGATCCAAGTTCAACTGACATCAACATCCAAACATCCAGCTTCCACAAAATTTCTCCGACTGCATCACAATATAAATGGATTCACAGCAGGAACCGGCCCAATGAAAGTCTCAGATTCCGCAACCGACTTCCCACTATCAGCAACAATAACCTGACCATTCATCGCCATTGGCAAATCCGAAGCCAAAGAAACAGCAAAATTAGCAATTTCCTCCGGCGCAGCACTGCGGTTATAATAGTATGTCTAGCCTTCACCTACTCCAGAGCGCTGATAAATTGTAGCCGACTCGTTCTGAATTTCCTCGGCGGTCTTTTCGAGCTTATATTCCGCGCCTTCTTCAGCAAGTTCAGAAGTAGCAAAGATGCTTGTAGTGGTAGGACCCGGCGCAACAGCATTTACACAGATGTTGCTAGAGGATAGCTGAACAGCACCGCTTTTCACGAGACCATTGCAGCCGTTCTTCGCTGTTGTGTATGCCATGCCTGCGAATGCCCCGCCTAGTGTTGCGCATGATGAGGTGACTACTATGTTTCCCTTTGGTGTGGGTTTGCCAGAGGATGCCATGCTCATGGCTTGCGAGCCGTATTTCAGTGCTAGGAATGTTCCGGTTATGCATGACTGCTACTGCGCGTTGGAAATGGGATATGAGAGGTCATTTAGACCACTCGAGTATCTGTCAGTCACTTGTTGTCAAGAAATGTATAAGGAAAACTAGAAAATGACGGACCGATATATTGCAATCCCTGCATTGGCGAAGTAGAAGTCTATTTGACCACAAGACTTCAAAATCTGTTGTATTAGGCTGAGTGTTTGTTCCTTGGATGAGACATCGAGTATACGACATTCCACTGTAGTGTCGTTTCCAGTGGCTTTCACTGTATTTTGGAGGTCTGCGAAATATCTCGAGTTGATATCGCAGGCGTAGATGGCTTTTGCGTCTGATTTCGCTGCTGTAATTACTATAGAACGACTAATACCGTAGGCTGACCCTGCGCTGGTAACGACACCGACTTGACCCATGCTTGGACCATTGTGTGTTAGTGGGTTGCTCTTGAGGCGTTTTCAGATACTAAAAATTACCCAGTTAGTTCAAATATATAACAGGAAGATCGGCCCATGCTGTAGCACAATCAATACGCCTGCAGTGGTTGAATGACGGGAATGAGTTTGGCCGTGTTGGACAAAGGTCAGACTGGGCATCGTCCAACCATCCTTCTTCGAAGATGGTACATCACTTGTGTGACTGTAGGGTCACCAGTCACCAGCCATCTCACGGTATTTGGAATGATACAAATTTTTGCGCGCTTTTACTAGTAAGAGATAGAATGGATAAACATCTAGACGTGTATATATGGACTAGATGAGACTACCTACAAGTACATACCGAAATGACAACAAGAACAATCTATAGCAGCGATATCATTTTTTTAAAGATCAGAGAATGTGATATATTACTACATGGGGATCAAAGCTTCCGTTTCCCTTTATTTGAGCCGATGACATAGTATCTGCCACAGTTTGTCAGTCAAAATCCGACCCGATGGATCACCTGTGGAGAATTCATACAGTCAGCTCATGATTCCAATGCAGACCTTTTCGGTTAACTCGTTTTCAGATGCAAGCGCAAGAACATCCGACACAAGGCTCTCGAAGCCAGCATAGATATATATTACTTGATCATATACACAGCGATATCATGATGTTGATGTGTACATAGGAAGAAGTTAGGTTTATTATTACACATGAAATGAGGGTGTAAACAACAGAGAGGGCTTAAAGCAAGAAAAGAACTTTCCATGCATAACGCTTGATTGGTTTGACAAAAGAAGGCTAGCAAGCTAAGGCAAGACATAAGCAGGCTCAGAGCTCCCTGTCCCTAGATGAGGTGTCACTGTCTGTCCAATCTCCTTGCTTCTGCCACGACTGGAACATAAGAGTTGCCACGTTCCGGCCCATCAGCGCGCTAGTCTCCATTGTCGAGATGAAGCTCTCGATGCCACCTGTGTACCACACTCCCGGAGCCAGAAGAGTCTCCTCAAATGTCACTCGGGGATATAAGAGAGGGTATGGGTTCCATAGCTTCTCATGGAACCAGCTGATATCATCTGTCAAAAGATCTCCAATGGTTGTATTGCTCCCCACAGTCTCACTCTCCAGCCCTAGAATCTGGGCAATGAATTTAGCCGTGGGCCGCTCTGGCGAGAAGATTTTGTAAACGTAATGTTGCTGTGTATCTTCTTTCGAATCCACGACAGAATGATCCACTGTTCGAAGCGTACTAATACTCCAGAAGCTGCTGGGTCCAACTCCATTTGGGTTCGAACCCAGATCAAGGCCCTCGGGCAGAGTGGTCAGAATGGTCTCAGGCGCTCGAGCATCCGAACCCTGTAGGCCAAAATACTTTGGTGAGATGCGGTGTGGGGATGCAAATAGTGTAACGTGAAGATTGACATATGGAATCTCATCCGGGGTGTACTCCAAGGGAGGGGAGACGGAAATACCCGAGTACTGCAAAGGACCGGCAATGACAACTTCATCAAATACTTCATGCTCTGAGTCGATAGCGGTGTTTAGCTTTGAGGAGACCCGCACAGTCCCATCATCATTGCGGGAAATCTCAGTGGCAGTGGTATTCACTTTGATATTCGCCCCCGAGGCTCTTAGCGCGCCATCGAAAATGCGCCAGTTTCCGCCCTCGATGGAAACCGCTCCATCCGTGGCCATACAGACAATAGATTCCAAGCCATGAATCAGCTGTAGGTTCTGCCCATAATTCACTCGAGTACTTGCTTGGATGATCTCCCTCGCAAATAGGGAGTCGATGCTATTTGCCTGGAGAAATATATCGCCAGAAGATACAGTAGCATTGATCAAGTCAACCGCAACAGCCGCCTCGGTAAGAGAACTGAAAGGGAAAAAGGGTTCCTCATAAAGACGGAGAAACTTGCCAACAACGCTCTTCACCAGATTCTGGGTATGTAGTGGTGCTAGTCCATACCGCCAGAAGAGCCGGCCGATATTCCACCAGCTATACGAATTCTTCAGAGTGAAAACAAACTGGCTCCCATCCCAGATCCCGATACTCTCATCGGCCTCTCTAGGCCGTGCATGGTCAGCACTACTAACCGTCAGACCGAGGTCACGGGAAGCATTGACCAGGTTGTAATTGATCTGAACAAAGATGGAAGCGCCCAGTTCAATGGGGTACGCGGGGTCGTCGAATACATTGACTGTTGTTGAGCGGCCGCCGACATATGATTCACGCTCATAAACTGTAATGTTGACAGGGATGTCGGCTTCATCTGCGAGCTTGCGCAGTTGATACGCAGCAAACGAGCCACCGGCTCCGGCGCCTATAAGGGAGGGATATCAGCCTCATATAGAACTGGGCTCTTTAGAGAGAGGCATACCGATTATTGCCACCCGCTTGGGAGCTGCACTAACGGCTCCTCGCAGTTGCTCTTGTTCTGCTGCATTGCCAAACGAGACGAGTAAGATAGCTAGGACGGAATACAGGAAGAAAGGGACATGTCGTGGCATAGACGCCCGCATGATTATGGTACTAGAAGGTAGCAGAGCTAATTGGTAGTTGAATAGCAAGTTCTCATTAAGTAGAGATTAAATATAGATCAGATATCATCAGACGTTGAAGTATGAAGGAAGGTGCCCGGTGATGCCATAAAGTCTAACTTGGGTCGTCGGTATCCATAGTACGCTAGTCTATTTTAGGACTGGTGCCATTTTCATATCGCTTATCTTTTTGAGGGGCATCACAGATTTGATTTACTTAACTCCGAATCAATTCAAAATGGATCCCTATGACAGTGACTCCAGTGTCGATGAAGACTTCACTGATACCGGTGTGCTTCTAGGCTATGCCGCTGAGGATGTCATCGAGGATGTAATCAGCCATCTTGGAGGCTGGCCGGTATGTTTTATCACTGCGAGGGTACACTCTATAATTGACTCCAACTGATAATTTTCTTCTTCAGAAATGGCTCGATGAAGCCTCCCCAGCACCTGGCGATTTCGCCAATTGCAAAGTCTGCAATAGCCCAATGCTCCTCCTCCTCGAATTGCACGGTGACCTCCCCGATCACTTCCCGACCGACGAACGACGCCTATACCTATTTGGCTGCCCCAGAAAACCCTGCAACCGCAAGCCAGGCAGTATCAGAGCATTCCGTGCAGCGCGCAAGGTCACCGTCGGCGGACAAAACAAACAGGTTGAAGCGAAAGCAGAGGAAACTCAACCTGTCGCCCCAGAACAACCCAAGCAGGACCTGGGAGCGAGCCTGTTCGGCGCAACAAACTTGACAAGCAACATCTCCTCGAACCAGAACCCCTTCTCATCCGCTTCAGGCCCAACCCCCGCAGGAAGCAACCCCTTCGCAACACCGGTCCAGGCAACAGCACCTACAGCTGAGAAGCCCGCCGTGTCCGCAAATACCCTGGCCTCATCTTTCGCCGACAAAGTGCGCATTTCCTCGCCGTCTTCTTCAGCTGTGACAAAGAAAACACCGGAATCAAGCACACCGGTGCCGTGGCCTGCGCAATCCGCGTTCCCCGCGCCATACAAAAATTTCTACCTAGATGCAGAATACGAGACTCTGTCGCGGCCGTCTTCGCCCACAGTGCCAGATAATGTGCAGATCGAGCCAATGGAGGAAGAAGGTGCTGGAGGCGCTGAGCTCAAGGATACCTTCGAGTCCGAGCTCGACAAGGACTTTATGAAGTTCTCGATGCGTCTCGAGCATAACCCGGAGCAGGTGCTGCGGTATGAGTTCCGCGGTACGCCGCTGCTGTACTCAACTGGTGATGAGGTCGGTACCCGGCTGCATGCTCACAATGCCCCTGGCGCCAAGGTCACCACACTCGGTGCGGGGAGTATCCCGGCTTGTGAGTACTGTGGAAGTCAGCGCGTGTTCGAGTTCCAGATTGTGCCGCATGCTATTACCATGCTTGAGGAGGGACGTCCTGGTGTTGGGCTTGGGAAGGATGATGCGGGCATGGAGTGGGGCACTATCATCATGGGGGTGTGCGGTAATAACTGTACGCCGCAAGAGTTAGGTGTTACTGGGTGGCGGGAGGAATGGGCTGGTGTGCAGTGGGAGGAGTTGAGATAGGTAGACATCTTGCATTGGATGAGGGTATTTTGCTAACCCTATGTTGTACATAGCAATGTTACCGGGAAGATCGAGTATTTTCTAGCTATATACACGGTCTGGTCTGCATCAGCATTATATATATGGCCAAGAGATCGCCTTGTGCCTTTTCTGTTACATATAATCTTCGAAATGGCTTCCATACATCGAATGTCCAAGACTACCAACGGGGATAGGGCTCAGTGCTGTATTAATACCAAACTTGTACAACAATGATTCCCCAGCCTAAAATGCATCTTCATGCGACAATATTTTCAGATAATAGTCATGTTTTGCTCTGCTTAAGTAGCCCTGGGGGGAATTTTGTAAATTCTGTATGGCTACTCTAAGTCAAAACATTTTAAGTCAGTCAACACCTGTGCCTGTGCCCTCCAGAGCTACATGTAGAAAACCAATAATGTTGCGTGCAACCCGCTGCATTTGACTTATCTGAATATGTATATTTGATAGGTGGGAGTTAGTAGTCCGCCTCGCTATCGCTCCCGGGATATGCCTTCTTCCTTAACTTCCATAGTGACTTTTCTCGTCGCGCAGCAACTTCACGCTGGTGACGACTGTTATCTTCTACCACAGTCATCCAAGGCACATTGCTCGCCCGGCGAACCCTTTCTCGGAGCAAAGCAAGCGTTCGATTATGTTCAGCCGGATCGAGCTCGTGTGCCTGGTCACTGCCAGAGTCTCCAGCTTTCTTCAGCCCAGATGTCGATTGCTGGTAGCGCCGCTCTGCCGCACGAGCGGCGTAGTATTCTTCACTGATAGCCCAATTCGGGTTATCAAGTTGGCCGCGGACCAGCACAATGCCATGACCTTGCTCGATGGCCTTTTCTAGGTGAGATGAGGGAATAGGAGTGGATAGCTCAAGCTTTCGCGAAGAGGTATCTATCGAGCGGACCAAAGCCAGACCAAGACAGTTTGACGCTTTTGGATCCAATGGGGTGCAACTGCCGGAACCAACAAAGAGGTAAGGAAGGTCTTCGGATGTTCGTACAATGCTGTTGGCGATGGAAAGATCAGCTGGACTACCCGGGCCTGGGTTTGCGGAATCCATATCAATGTCCTCATGGCTTTCGTCATTCGGTGGCTCTGATGTTGCCATCCCACTCATAATAGCTTTCGGCGATTCCACTGCCACGACTCCTACGATAGCGCCTTCAAGCGTTTCGTGCAACAAATCGGGGTTGATCTGGGATCCCATGACCATGACGCCCAGAATACCTTGTCGTGGACCCGCATAGTCCACAGTAATAGGCCTCGTGCGAGATAATGGTACATCTGACCAAAGGGAAGTGCTGAGATCACTTGGATAAGACATATGGAAGTATGACTGGATTTGCATCGCTCGCAATTGAGCGCTTGATCGGCTCACGAAATCAGTGGGCTGAGAGGGGAGGATTGTCAAGGGGACTCGGGCTTCACGGGCAGCCAGACCTAACGGATCCACGACTTCTGATGGGCCCTTTTCACTCATATATACCACATCAGAGAGACCAAGAGATCTGACCAGCCAAGTGGCAACCTCTAACCCTTGTCCAAAGATCCAACCGGGGTAGTTGATAATCAGAGGGCATTGGGGATGTTTCTCTAGCAACGAGCGGTATTGATCCATGAGATCCATAACGGCTAGTGCATAGTGATCAGGATCTTCTTTTGGCGATGCTGCACCGATGTGATGTGCTCGCATTATTTCACCGTGATGGGAATCGTCCACTGATGGGTGGGTGAAAGGCGGACCGAAGAATGGAGAGCGTAAGCGCGCAAGATAAACTTGACCCATAGGGGCAAACTCAGGCTGGCCTGGGTCTAGATCCAGGAAAGCAACTCCATCGGTATTAGTATATCCATTTTCGGTCTCGGGTGTCGGACTGAGAACGTGGTTCAACAAGTAGCGACTGAAGGTAGACTTTCCAGATGCCTTAGGGCCACAAATTAGCACCCGAAGTTGTCCTTCACGTTGTGAGAGAGCTTTCATTGATGCACTCCATTTCTTATCAAGGTGAAGTGGTCGGATATGTCTATTTAAGGAATCATCTGCCGATGTATACAACTGCCAAGTCAATTAGCTTTGAACACATCTCGAGCTGGAGTAGGGTGTGATAGCATACCACTGAAAAAGTCCGCTTTGAGTCTTTTGCAGCTCCTTTCAGGGTGATTTTATCTGCAGCGGTGTTTTCGCCAGCCCAGATCCTTTGATACAGAGGCGAGAGGTCACGGAGGCGGGAAATGCCGCTGGTGCAGGACTTGATCTCCACTTCTGCGTCGCCGTCAACACCAGCAACACATTTGATGACTGGCAAAGAGTGGGTCGAAGGAGCATAAACTCTATGCAGTTGTGAGGACGGATGTAATTTTGCGCCCATCAGACTGACAACACCTCTTTTTACCCAGAGATCATAATGGCCCAGCAACGCCAGGTTCTAGGTCAAGTCAGTATTCACCCTGAATGGCCGGAGAGGGTTGTCCATACCGTCCGTTCCTTAATGCGAATGCAAAGTGTACTCTCATCACTGTATACTATGCTGCTTTTGTTCAACCGAGCCTTGGATAGAGGGAAATTTTGAAGCTCTGCAGGTGTTTCTGCGGGTGATTCATAGCCATCGGCATCACCCACAACAGACGCAATATCATCCTCATCCATCTCTCCTCCATCCTCGACTTGGTCTTTTTCAGACTGCTCGTCCTCGGGGTGCTTAAGAGTATTTTCCGCCTCAGGCTTCACTTCTGATTTCTGAGGCCGGGTAACTCTTACTGAGCGTTCCGGTGTTGTCTCTGCGGGTAATGGCTCATCTTGTTTCTTTGCTGCCTTTGTCCGTATACCACGATGCTCTTCGTTTGTCTCAGTCGCCCCAGGTCCCTCGAGAGACTGCCGTGACTTTTTCGATGGCGGCTCACTCTCAACAATAGCTTGTGGCGCATCCTTTGGTACATTCGCGCTCTGTGCTTGCTGTTGTCGAGCTCTGCGGGCTGCCAAAGCAGCAACAGCGCTAACAGGGCCTAAAGAAACGACATGTGAGCTTCAAATTGGTGTCTTCAGTATGGATAGAGGGCTTACCAGCTGCTTGCTGTTTTTCGGCCTTTCGCTTCACCATGATATTATACAATTCACACGAGCTTTGAGCCTGCGTTCGGAAAGAAAATGACCTTGATAATGCGATCCAAAGCCGATAAGCAAAAAAAAAGTTGGCGGTGGTCCGTGCTCCCGCGGAGGAGAAAAAAAAGATCGTTGCACTTGAGCATCCTCACTCAACGTCGATCCAATTCATTTTGTGAAATCGGCTTCGCTGGAATTTCGCATACATATCCTGTGCATTACTCTAATATCCGGTCCCATTTATTTTGTGGGCTCCTAGTGCGCCAACCGCCGCGCATCCTTGCAAAAGCATTTTAGTCTCGACCTCGAGTTTGCCCAACACATTGAACAGCCGCCATGGCATCATCCGACAGCGATAGCAGCTCGAGCAGATCGACCTCGCCCGAGCTTACAACTGAAAAAGAGAAAAAAATGACAAAACACTTGAAGGCGCAGGAATCAAGCGAAGATGAAACCTCGGACTCAGGTTCAGACTCGGATAGCGACTCCGACGATTCCAACGAAATGAAGCCCAGCTCCAGCTCAGGCAAGAAGTAAGAAATTGTCGCTCTACTAGCTTTAATAGTAACTAATCCACGCGTCCATAGGGTCGTAGTCTCTGGTCCTCAGCCATACAAACCACCAGCGGGTTTCAAATCTGCGAAGAAGCAGGCCCCGCCATCCTCCAAAGCCTCCTCCCTTCTCTCCAACCTCAACGGCAAACAAGTCCTCCACCTCACAGCACCAGCATCTCTGCCTTTGTCCAAGGTCAAAGAGGTGTGCATGGCCAAGATCATGCAGGGTGAACCGATCATCTCTCACGACGGTGTGAACTATGGTATCCCAGTCGAGGCTCTTTCCGAGGCCGATCCCGCGACAAAGTCGCTACTTCTTTTCGACGAGAAGACACAAACATATTGTACAGCAGCCCACGGTGTCCCAAGTTACCACGTCCAAGAAATGATCGATCTCCCAAGCACATCGAAAAACACCGATGCTGTAGTGGCAGAAATGCGCAAATATGTCAAGCCAGCCCGGCTACAGCCGAAGAACTTGAAGATGCGCTTCCGGCCTGTCGGCACAACTATTCCGCCTCCAGAGACCCTCGGATGTAGCTCGGAATCCGAGGCTGAGGTACCTTCGTTCAAGGTTCCCAAGGGAGAGGAACGGAAGAGGAAGCTTGATCACGATGAAGCTGAGGATGAAGCTCCCCAAGCCGCAGCGCTTCCTCGGAAGAAGTCAAAGAAGCACTCACAAGAAAAGGAGGAGGATGATAGTTTGAGCCGGAAGAAGTCTAAGAAGTCCCACAAGGAGAAGGAGGAAAAGAAGCGGAAGAAGTCCGAAAAAGCATGATTTGACGTTGGTATTCTTTTGAAAATAGCTTTGTTCTAACGACGTCCCCAATACTATGTACAATTCACAATCTTATCTTTCACCTTGGATCTGGTAGCCCTTATAGCTTGCCCAGGTGTGTTACATTGCCTGTTCTTTTGGATAGGTCATAAGTAGTCAAATGAGCTCCTCCTTAATGGGGCTCTAAGATATGGTTCCTTTTAACACACAGTGACGGGTTTCCATTTCAATTTGGTATCCAAAAATGAATGGCTAAGAACAATAATTGCTGGCAATCCCAACGCATAAATGCTGGGTAGAAATGATCTACATTAGCTGCCTCAGGCACCAAGCTGACATAAGGGGTGACGGAGTCATAGATCACATGCATGCGGAGAGAGCCCAGGTGATATTTCTCCCTTGGTGCATTCTAAAATTTCTATAAACACTTGGGTAGATTTGGGCTTCCTTTCCCATTATTTCAATTTTCATAATCTTTGCAAATAGACCATGGCGCTTGGATGATTTGAAGTGTGGTTTGACAGCTTCATCCATATCAGGTGTCCAAGCTTCAAAGCGCTTATCGGCTTAGATCCCTGGAATCCCGTGCGTTGTTCACCATTCACTCTGCTTATCACGATCTGGCGCCTGACCTAAGTTTTAATGTGACAAAGTCACTTAGCGTTCAGGTTGATGTGTCTTTCCATTTGACTGGTGCATACCTGACCGTCATAGTCCTATCAGTGCCGAGCTGTCACCTGGCTCGAGCTTCTGACTGCCCGACCGGTTTTAGTGATTCACCACGCCCTAGCATCGTTTACTCCCGTCCTTGACCTACATTTTGCTTCGATCGTATCGTATCGGTATACCAGGGATAATAATGAGACCATTAAGAGATGATGCCAAACGCCGGGCAGACCGGCAGTTGAGCGCAAGTATGAAACCTACTTCGTCCAACCGTCCATTTTCAGATCGAGTACCAGACAGATTTAAGGATGGTGATGATGCCCAGTTCGATTTCACAGCTCCGCCGCGAGGTATGGGTTCACGGGACGGCAACGTGCATTATATGCAGCAATCCCTCTTCTCCATGATTGCTGCTGTCGGATCCAAGTCGGACTTCCATGCCCGATTTGATGAATCTAGTGATAGTGATGGAGAGACGGAAGAACGTCCGCAGATTGAACAAACTAGTGAGAAATTATCATCTCGGACGCCTATACCATCCTTGGGCTCCCTCCAGCCAAGCAAGAGATCGGAATCAAACACACTCGTTCTGGAAGAAAGAGGACGTCGCCATCAAAGAACAAGATCAGACAATAAGCTTCTGCAGAGATTACCCAGGTTAGATTCAGAAGGTGGGGTTAACGAGTCATCAAACCAACCCGACTCGATCCTCAAGATGCCTCCTCTAAGGCGAACCCGCAGTGCGACACCGCGAGCAGCCCCAGTTCTAAGTCGCATGGTTGAAGCGCAATCTCACTTTGACTTGACATCGGCTACACCATACTTGCCACCCAATCCAAACAAACCCATGGAAGACCAGTCACAATCATCTGCATCCGCTCTTTCTACGCGATTGATGAAGATGTTTGGGTTTGCGAGGCCTGAAAAGGTTCTGGTGGAGTATGCTTGCTCATTGCTTCAAAGCATGCTTCTTCAAGGCTACATGTATGTAACGGAAGGTCACATCTGCTTCTACGCCTACCTTCCAAAGAAGTCCAACGTGGCGCTAAAGTCGGGGTACCTATCCAAACGGGGCCGCAAGAATCCCGCTTATCATCGCTATTGGTTTGCTCTGAAGGGTGATGTCCTCTCATACTACGCCGATCCCTCCAATCTCTATTTTCCTAGCGGACATGTCGATCTTCGATATGGGATCTCTGCGTCTCTCGCAGAACGCAAAGACGGCGATTCGAAAGATTTTCAGGTCACCACCGATCAGCGGACTTATTTGTTCAGAGCAGACAGTGCTACTAGTGCAAAGGAATGGGTGAAAGCTCTCCAAAAAGTCATCTTTCGCACACATAATGAAGGTGACAGTGTTAAAGTATCATTCCCAATAGCGAATGTTATTGACCTGGAGGAGAGCCCAATGGCCGATTTTGCGGAGACATTCAAGGTTCGAGTTCTCGACAGCGGCGAAACATATGCAATTGACGAGGTAGGTCGTGGGACGAAATGTTACCATGTTCATTGCTGACCACTTCACAGTACTTCTTCTCATTTTTTGATTCGGGCCAAGATGCGTTCAACTACATCAAAGGTCTGGTGAATGCTGCATCGGCTACTACCGCAATGAAGGAGCCGCAGGGTGAGCATAGCATCCGACATCAACCCGAATCAAATCGTACTGCCCATAAAAGACAGTCGGTCAGTAGCGTTCGAGTATCCGATCAGAGGCAGGGAGATTCACCACGCAAGCGAAGCTCCAGTGTAGGGAACGAAAATCAAGGCTCGGCGGACTCATTTGCGGAGCAAGGGACCGGATCATCGCCGATTATACAGTCGATGACCGAGACCACTGAATCGGCCAGTCAGATACTACACAGAAGCGACGTCTTTCAATCGCCCACCATGCATACACTGCAAAGACGTACATTGGATGTGGGAGAAAACATTCGAGGGCATTCTGATGATACAACTCCCTCTGCGTCTGCGCGGCTGGACCTAGATGCAGCGGCAGGCTCTCCGTCTGGGACACTAGGTGGCAATGAAACCACAGACGACACGCGACATGCCACCGGCCAATCTAACACAATGCAATCTTCAAGACCGAGCTCGGTTACTCATCTGAACGAGCTTGTCAAAGCAGGCGCATATCCCCTTCAACGCGCCGCTGGTTTCGCAGAATACTTAAAGAGCCGCTCGAAGCAGATGAGTACGCTGTTAGCAACAGAGTCAATGGGCTATATAGAAAAGGTCTCTGGCATGTGGATTGGTGGGCAGAAGCATTATGGAGAGCGGGAAGGGCCATTACTCGAAGACCAGAACGTTGATCCCGAGGACAACGAAGGTGCATTCAATTATGGGGATCGCTTTCGTGCACACTTTGCTCTCCCGTCTAGCGAAAAACTGCAGGCGACATATTACGCCTACTTGCATCGCGTGCTCCCGCTCTACGGTAAGATCTATATAAGTCAGAAGAAACTTTGTTTCCGGAGCCTGATCCCTGGCACTCGGACCAAAATGATTTTACCGTTCAAGGACATTGAGAATGTTGAAAAAGAGAAAGGCTTCCGTTTTGGATACCATGGACTTGTTGTCATTATCCGTGGTCATGAAGAGCTTTTCTTTGAGTTCAACGCCGCGGATTCACGAGATGACTGTGCAGTCACATTGCATCAAAATTTAGAGTCCGTGAAATTCCTAGTGGAATCTGGCTTGCTAGCAGATGAAGAGCAAGACGAGGTTGAAGCAGCCAAGGCTGAGCACCGCATGCTTCAGGAAGCAAGACTGGACAGCCCCGAGGAACACGATGCACGTCCGAGTTTCACTGAGGATTCATCGGAGATACATCCGTTCTTTGACGATCCTCGTGCTTCCATTATCAACTTCAAACCTCCCGAGCCTCTAAGGATTACCTGTCTGACCATCGGCTCCCGAGGCGATGTACAGCCGTATATTGCACTTTGCAAAGGACTACTTGCGGAGGGCCACAAACCGAAGATTGCAACCCATGCCGAGTTCGAACCCTGGATTAGACAACACGGAATTGACTTTGCTCCTGTTGACGGTGATCCCGCGGAGCTAATGCGAATTTGCGTGGAGAACGGGATGTTCACATATTCCTTCCTCAGGGAAGCTTCATTGAAGTTCAGAGGATGGATCGATGATCTTTTGTCGTCGGCTTGGATTGGTTGTCAGGGTAGTGACCTTCTAATCGAGTCACCGAGCGCCATGGCTGGCGTCCACATTGCAGAGGCTCTAAGAATTCCGTACTTCCGCGGGTTCACCATGCCATGGACAAGAACACGGGCCTATCCTCATGCTTTCGCAGTACCAGAGAATCGCATGGGTGGTGCATACAACTACATCACATACGTCATGTTCGACAACATCTTTTGGAAGGCGATCGCGGGGCAAGTGAACCGCTGGCGAAACAACGAGTTGGGATTGAAAGCCACAACCTTGGACAAGATGCAGCAAAACAAAGTCCCGTTCCTTTATAATTACTCGCCCTCCGTGGTGGCCCCGCCTCTCGATTACCCGGATTGGATTCGCATTACCGGCTACTGGTTTTTGAATGAGGGCACAAATTGGACTCCTCCAATTGAACTATCAAACTTCATTGCGCAGGCCAGAGCGGATGGCAAGAAGCTCGTGTACATTGGGTTCGGATCCATTGTAGTCTCAGATCCTGCTGCCCTGACACGGACTGTCATCGAATCAGTCCAGAAAGCAGGTGTCCGATGCATCCTCTCGAAGGGCTGGTCCGATAGACTTGGTGACCCAGCTAGCATGAAGACTGAGATACCTCTACCACCAGAGATTCATCAGATCCAATCTGCACCCCACGACTGGCTTTTCTCTCAGATCGATGCTGCAGCCCACCACGGCGGAGCAGGAACCACCGGCGCAAGTCTTCGAGCCGGCGTCCCCACCATCGTCAAGCCATTCTTCGGAGACCAGTTCTTCTTCGGCTCCCGGGTGGAGGATCTAGGCGTTGGCATCTGCATGAAGAAACTGAACGTCAGTGTCTTCTCGCGGGCTCTGTGGGAGACAACGCACAGCGAACGTATGATTGTAAAGGCACGGAATTTGGGCATTCAGATTCGCAATGTGAGTTATTCAAAGCCTGCCTAGGCTAATTGGATGGAATGCTAATTTGAGATCCTCTGTTTAGGAAGACGGTGTGGCCACTGCAATCCAGGCTCTTTATCGCGATCTTGAATACGCGAAGACCTTGGCCCGACAGAAGTCACTTGCGTCGTCGACCCCATTCTCTCCTACACCTACAGCTAAGACCTCCCCAGATGGAGGCGATGACGACCTTGATGATATTGAAGAGTGGACCTTTGTCGGTGATGAAACTGGCTTCGACATCTCGAAGCGGATGCGTGAGCGAGCTGCTTCAGATGCTGACAGGCTAGGTTCCAACATGTTCCAATGATTTGTTTTCCCAGGTTGAATGATGAGCTTTTTGTTTTCGTTGCGAGACTCCAGCGCTCTGTCGAGATCTTCCACCATCTTCAAATCCCTGCCTCGTCACTGGCCAACTATATGATGCTGTTAGGCGCGCGGAGTGGGAAATGTTCATGGTGAAGGTCGCGTCCTCGAGCCATGAATATTGAAGGTTTTTGAATGTGCTTTTTCTTTCTTTTTAATTTTCTTTGGCGATTTTTCTTGCCTTCAGATGTTGTTCACGAATCATGACATGCGTCTTTTTTTCGTTTTATATGCATAGGGCATTTGGTTTAGAGCGTATTCTTCTAATATCCACTACTTCATTTCAATGTTTTCTCTCTATGCGTTATGATTTCCTTGGTTTTTTTCCCCTTGACGTTTAACTTGGAAGATATTAGACCATTCATAATCGATGACATTGGCAACATTTTTATAATATCCCATAAATCCCTTCAAAAACATTCAGCCACCAGGGCGCTTCTTTATTTTTTCGTTTCCTCTTCACCCTTGCCATCAGCCTTATCTTTACGCCTTTCTACAACATCCCAGTTATACACACGCGCCGTGGCAACCTCCAATGTCTGCAAAGAGACAATATCGTTAGCAAAAGCGTCAATATCCCAACCTCACACCTATGCCTCTCTCAATCAGAATGAACTAACCGTAATCTGCTCGCGCAAGAATTCCAGATCCTCCTCGCAATTCTGCAAGCTCGACTCCGCAGCACTAAGCTTCTCATCCAGCATAGTCTCCGCCTCGCCGAGCGGGTACGCCAACATGACATTCGCTCCGAGCCAGAGGTAGACCTCCTCGGCATCAGCAGGCGAGATCGCAGCCCGGGCGTAGAGGGTATCATTGAGTTCGAAGTTGGTCTCGAGGTCTGAGTCAGGGTTGGACTAAACAAGTACATTGTGTCAGTTGGATTGGTATTCCAGATTTCGGGTTCAGTTCCGTCTCTTTTTTTTTCGATAGACGCTTCACGGATCACTTTTTCTCCGAGTTGCATATTATAAATAGAGCCACAGGCGCAGGGGGGCAGTATTTACCTCCTTGCGCAGCTGCAAGAACCGCACCATCTCCAGCGTCTTCTTGATATCGGGGATCTTCTCCCGCAGGCCCTGGCCGCGGCGCTGGGTGTTCACTTCCATGAACTGGTACTTGGAGATCATCTCCTGGAAGGAGCGGAGGGTCGGCTCGACTTCCTCGCGGGAGGAGACGTAGTCGCTGACATTGTCGATGAAGGGTGCGACGGGGATCCCGCGCGGGTTGGTTTGTGTTGTTACCGTGCTGGGTGGAGGGGTTAGTTTCTGTGTTTCTGTGGATGCGGGCATGGGATTGGAGTTGGGGGATTGAAGCTAGAAGGGGATTTCTGTAAAGGGATAGAGTAGGAATTGGAATTTACCTCTTCTTTGAGTCCGCCATGGTCGCGAAGATGTGTGAGAGAGAGAATGAGAGGAAGATATGACGATGTGGGGAGGAGCTTAACTGCCACTTTTTTGGGGTTCCGCTTTATCTCCCCTGCGATAAACTAAACCTCAATGCATTCGATTTGATTTGCCCTACATTCGTGGAATTTGTGTCAGAATGGTCCTACTTCTTACGACGGATCGCATCCTCGCCGCGTTCGAGGCTATTCCGGCTTCGCGCCACGAGGAGCTGGACTTGCCTACCACGTTGGAAGCACGAGGCCCAATAGCCCATGAGCAGCTGATCCGGCTCGCCAGATACCTTCAAACAGACCCGGAATACAAAGAACGTGCCTCCCACACCCCAACTGTTCTCAGCTCCCTCCTCCGAGGCACCAAAGTCTACGTTCCTCCGCCGCCAAAGAAGCCAGAGCCCGTACGTGGTCTAAACACAACCTCTTCCCTTCATTTCCTCGAACACATAGAAACCATACCAACCCATTTCCTAACATTCTTTACAATACAGAGCGCCGAATATCTCGCATCAAAAGCGCGCCTTCTTGCCGCAACAGAACAAGAATCCTACAACCGCCTCTTAAACCCAAACTACCAACCAAACGCCGACCACGCGGATCCCTACACATCGCCCTACACGAGCGACGGCCGAATAGAAGAAGACACGCTGACAATCTCACTTGTTTCTAGCATCTTCATCTCGGTACTAGTGACCGGGTTCAGCGTGTACGCGGCGCTTACTCGGTTCCCGACGCCGCAGATCCTGTCGAGCGAGGCGATTAAGGTTCTTTTTGGGCTGTTTGCGGCGCTGAGTGTTGCTGTTGCGGAGTCGTTCTTGTATTGGACATATCTTGGGAAGGTGGATCGGGCGAGAGTTAAGGAGAAGAGGGTTAGGGAGAAGAAGGTTGTTATTGGGGCTGTTGGGGAGGAGGATCAGGGTGTGGATGAGGGTGTTGAGATTGGGGCGGAGAAGGAGGAGATTTGGGGGAAGGGGGTTAATGGGGGTGTTAGGAGGAGGGTTAGGGAGAAGTGGGAGAAGGGGAGGGATGGGGAGGATGTTAAGAGTCTTTGATATGGATTTGTATGGTATTCGACAATAATGACATGTATTTTACTAATATGATAACTTGTTTATAAGTCTTGAATGGATCCAATTGATTGCTTTGGGTATTCTACCCCTAAAGCTACAATGCGCTGTCATTAATCTAACGGGTATGGATGCTGTGTGATCATTAGTGCTCATCAGAGGGTTCGATCTCACAGGTCGAGATCGAGATGTAAAGTGCCAGAAATATATAGAAAAGAGCAAGACGAACTGCCGAGATTTCAACTTGTCCCAAGCGTGGACAAAATTAAGAAAGAAGAAGAAGAAGAAGAAGAAGAAGAAGAAGAAGAAGAGAGCGGGGAATATCTCAGACCCGTTTCTCAAGAAGCAGCTTGCCGTGCGGCGATTGGCTATTGAAGCCATGTTCACGGCTGAAAATACGCTCACCATGCAACCAGGTTTCGCGGACCATGCCACGCAGAGTACGGCCCTGGTAGGGGGAACACTTGTTGCGGAAGAGCATGGTGCTCGGCTCGACGGTCCATTCGGCAGAGTCATCGAAAACACAAATATCAGCATCAAAGCCGACAACCAGGTCGCCCTTGTGCGACTGCAAGCCAACCTGGGCAGCGGTGTTGGCACAGCAGAGACGAACGACGTCCTGGAGAGCGTTCTTGGTGTTCTCATCTTCTGGAGAGGAGGTCAGGCCCTTACGGCGGCTGAGGTCTGTCCAGAGGATGGGCAGACCCAGTCCGACGGAAGAAATTCCGCCCCAGGCAGAGAAGAAGTTTCCACTCTCTTCTTCCTTGCTGCTGGTGCAGTGTCCGGGGATATGGGTTGGGAGCATCTTCAGATCTGGTGTGCAGGGAGAGTGGTCGGAGACGACAGTCTTGATGACACCTTCGTCGGCGTGCTTCTCCAGCTCTTCCCACAAACTATCTTGGTTCAGTTTGGAGCGGATAGGCGGGCAGCACTTGTGGCGGGTGTCGCCGTCGCGTACTTCCTCCGCTGCCAGGGACAGATAGTGGAAGCAGGTCTCGGCTGTGATCTTGACGCCATTAGCGCGGGCTTCCCGCAACAAGGGGATAGCTTCCATTGCAGAGAGGTGAACGATGTGCAGGGGGAGGTTGGGAGCAAGATAGGCCAAAGACAGAATGCTTTCGATGGCGCAGGTCTCGAATGAGGAGGGTCTTGAGGCCAGGAAAGTGGCATACGCCTCAAGGGGACCAGCAGGTTCGGCAGGTGCGTCAGATGTCTGCACCTCGTCGCCCACAGATGCGGTAATAGGAGGCACCATCTCAGCGTGGAACATGAGAGTCGTTGGCTCGTCAGCCAACTCAGCCATGACCTTCTTAATATCCTCTCTGCCGACAGCAGGGAACTCGTCAACCTATGATGAAAGTTAATACTGATTAGAGAACCCACGATGCTAATATCATTCACTTACACCACTGTCAATAAGGAAACCTTTGAAGCCACGGACACCCTCCTGGACAAGAGCCTTGAGCTCGCCCGCGTTGCCGGGGATGATACCGCCATAGAAGCCGACATCAACCCAGCACTTGCCCTGGGCAGCCTTGATCTTCTCTTTCAACCCGTTCACGGTGGTGGTAGGCGGGATAGCATTGAGAGGCATATCAATAACGGTGGTCACACCACCGAAGGCAGCGGCTTGAGTGCCTGTATAGAAGCCCTCCCATTCCGTGCGGCCGGGCTCGTTCAGATGAACGTGAGCATCAACCAAGCCGGGGAGCAAAACATGGGGCGAATAGTCGGTATAGGGAGTATCGACAGGGAACTCCGATGCTGGAATCACGGAATCAAAGACAGCGGTGATTTTACCAGTTGTCTGTGAAATCACCACAGTGGCAGAGGTCAAACGGCCGGAGATAACGGCGCGAGATGAAGCCACCACGGTAATGGATGGGAGGTTAGTTGCCATGACTCTTGTATATTCTATACTTCAAACTCGAATACAACCCAAAGGACGGAATATAAGAAAGATGCTCAGATAAGAAGAAGAAGATAAGAGGGGACATAAAAGATAAGGGGATCGGGGGAGATATAAATACGCCACTCTACCTCCGAAGGTAAAAAAAAAAAAAAGGTCCGGGTCCACCTTGGGGTAAATGAGATTTCATTTTCAAAGGGATTGTCCAGGAATATCCAACGAATATCCACAGGCCCACTGCCGAGCCATTATTCCAGAACCGACGTTGCGATAACTCGGCCAACCAGCCGGTCCAGACAGTCATAGTGCAGATGCAGAATGACCTTCACCCTTTGTCGTATTGGGGAAGAATTGGGGAAGAATGCCCCTCTGCTTTCTCTGTCTCCGATATACTAGCATCTTGAGACGAGTATAACCAACATATTGATCATTCAAGACAGAGGGAAAGTGTCGGGCACCTCCGATGCGAAATCTGCGGGCAGGTCCCGCTTATCGGCCGCTTTATCAGCTTACTCGATGGAAACTGTCGTCTCCCGAGGTCTGGGTAGCTTCGGGCATCTTCATATTCTTTTTACTCGATCAAAACTGGTTTTCGGTGGGGGGAAATCTTCATCTCGGAAACGGTTGAGAATGTTGGCTCGTGACTTATCTTGGCCCTGATTTTGCCGAGGGGTTTTCATTGATCAATTTTACCTTTGTTTCATACCCCAATGGCGAGAAAGAAATGTTGAAAGGAATATCGAAGATGATGGGTAAGAGAATGGGCAAGTGAACAGGTTTGATCTTGTGGGAAACCCCTTTCCCCCTTGACTTATTTGTCCCCCCAAACCTCCAGGGATTCTTCCAAGACTTATGCCTGCTTGACTTTCGCCGTTGTATCACTGGCCCGTGGTTAGCAGTATAATCCACCTAGCAGATGCTTAATGTGACGTTCCAATGTTTGTTCAATCGGAATTCATATATGCAAAAGTAGATATTTAATCTGATGTACGTATGCCGGCCAAGACTGTGATCTTAGTGCCTTTGTGATGCACTGAATGTACCTACATATACATAAGTACCTACGTCACATACGGTGAAATTTATAGAAATTAGTACACGAGGTTTCATTCATTCATTCGTTATCTTAGCCGGTGGTAGTAATTTCCTCCTTTTTTTTTTGGTGAATTTTGTGTGATCTAGTTAAAATTGATCTCAAGTAGGGAGGAAATAGCAGGCAGCTGCTCGCGAGAAACCTCAAAAAAAGCAAGCAAAAGCAAATCAACCGGTAGAAACACCAGGAAACATAAACCCCAGAGATAACCCACCGACGGGCAACCCCAACCCACGGTGCCGCTTCATAAGGAAGCGGGGCGCTCTTCTCACGGGGTTTACTCTTCTTCGTCGTCCTCTCGGATATCTTGCAGATCTTTGAGGTCAAACGGGTCAGTCTTGCTGACGATTACGTCGTCGTAGTGAGTTGAAGTTTCCGGAACAGAAAGAGCATTGGCAAAAGCGTCGGAAAGAACATTGGGACCATCAGGAGCAACGTTAGAAACGGCAGGAGATGCATTAGGAAGGATGTTAGAAGAAGAATCAAGAGGAGCGTCTGGAAGCACGCCAGGGACGGAAAGAGCATCACGAGAACCGTCAAGAGAAGCGTCCGGAAGAACCTTAGGAACGTCAGGAAGAGCATCAATCTCATCCTCGTTCTCAACTCTGTCAAAGGACGAACAGTCGCTGCTGTCGTCACTTTCGTTGTCTTTTTCATCACTAGGGTGCAAGTTGTCATTGAAAAAGGTAACCATTTCCTTGGTGAACGTGATACCGGCCAGGAAGCCCTTCATCTGGTTCATAACATCTAGGCTATGCACTTCAATCTTGCCGCCAGGGACTTCCGGAATGTCGTTGATCGATGATGTGAGAATATCATTGTTGCCAGAATCGGTCTTGCCAGGGACCACATCAAAGTTCTCCATCGCCATTGGAGAGTAATGCATGATCTTCATCCAGGTTAAGATGTGTGCCACACCACGAGTGATCATGCATGCTGACTTCGTGCCTTCACCGGAGGAGTACGTGTTGTAGCCATGAGGGAGGTTAAGATCGGGCACACGTGTGCCAATCGGCTTATCACAGATGATCCAACCACGGCAACGGTATTTCATGAACCAGGCAAATGACTCCGGATCCTTCAGGTCATCAGTCTTGGTGCTTGTGTCAAGAATTGTCTCAGGGTTGATCAGGGAGAGGGAGGAGATGTGGGGCGACCAGAAACTCCCTAATGGCCAAGTCAGTAAGCACTCCCCAACGATGTTATCCAGTCAGATACTCACATTGATTCTTCAGGTATGTCATGGCAGCATGGCCGCCCTCAGACAGGCCGATGACGTCGATTCTGGCACCGACTCGGAAGTTGCCACGCATCAACACTTGTTCGAAGATATTCTGGACATGCTCACCGATGGAGCCAACCGTGTTTCGAACACTCAGTGGACGCTTGCGCTCCACAGCAGAAGTGCGGTGTTGACCTTGAACACTGTCTGGGGTCATCGCGAACCAACCTGCATTGTACCAGACGGTGTGGCCAGGGTTCGCGAGGATGAGAGCATTGGGCGAACCTTGAGCATTCTCACCGAGCAGGCCCTTTGCAAAGCCCAGGATCGAACCGAAAGAAATGCCGTCGTCGCAAGCGTCACGGTATGAGAAGATGCCCAGGTCTTCGACAACCTCGCCGCAGAAAACAACAACTCGAGGTGCAGTGGTCATGTTGCTCGACACCATGATGGGGACCTGCTGCTTGCTGCCCTTTGGGATCTTCATGAACTGCATGCCCATTCCCAGGAGTCGGTCGGTGATGCTGGTGCGGATCGCCTCTATGAAGTTGTTAGCACCAAATGATTCATTAAGACCATAGCCTAATATGGAAATGGATCTGAGGGTTAACTGACTATGGAGGGCCTCAATGTGGACCTTGTTGATGCGGTCACTTCGGTTGACCTTGTAACGAGGGCCCTGGTCCGGGGCGACGATGTAACGGATCTTGTCATCTTTGGTGATGACGAATCTGTGTTATTCAATAGACCGTTAGACTCCAAGGCTGAGATGTCACGCTGAAAACTACGGAAGAACTTACCCAAGCCCCTGCAGGTCTTCTGCGAAGACGATGTCATCGGGGAGGAGGTCTCTCGGAACACCATTCATGATGGCAAAGCTTCAAATCAACGTGTGATATTGATTTGAGAAGAAAGTCAAAGAGACAAGAGGGGAAGATGAGTGATGGGTAAATGGAAGAAGAAGAAGAAAACGAAAGGAGGAGGAGGGGAGTATCACACGAGCAGAATCAGAAGGCACCGCGCTTTTTGAACGCGATTTTGGTCGGGGCAATAGTCAGCGACGATGTGATTATGGCAGGCATCGATGATCTTCCCATCTGCTTAATGACCGGCGATGATTCAACTATGAGCAGGCTACGCCGAAGAATCTTGCCACGGATATTGAGGATCTATGACTGGAATCTTCTTGATGTACACCACTGATTTGGTATGATGAGTTGCCGGTCAAGTATCAATCAAATCAGCAGGCTGATCTGCAACTGATCATCACGATGGAAGCAAACAACCCAATTGGATAATCTCAACACCAAACAAAGAAAGCCTGATCTCACGACATCAGCAAACGAGGATCAGGCCCAAAGCGATGTCTGGACTGTCAATACGAACAATCCAAGAGCAGCGGAGTCTGATCGGAGGAACCAAAACGACAAAGAAAGATTTGATTTCTCTGCAAATTAGAATTGCATACTGTACATGCTTCCACCCAATGGAAGCAAAGAAGAAAACGCCATCGTGCAAACAATTGAACCAAATGCCTCCATATACTACAGAGCACCAGCAAAAATCTCATACAATTACCAACTGGCCTTCCTCACGCCGGGAAGCTCACCAGCGAGAGCCTGCATACGGAATTGGTACTATAGAAGATAGTGTGTTAGCGATATGAAATCAAAAACCCCGGACAAGATGCGGCCATTGGCCGGAGTTTTCCACTAACTCTGTTGATTCTGAAATCGCGGAAGACACTGCGGGCAGTGCCTGATGCCACACAACGGTTCTTGATCTGGGTGGGGCGAGTGTAGGCGTGCATCTGCGACAATTGGAGCTGAGCCTGCGCGCGGACACGGCCAGAGAGAGAGGTGTTGCGGATCATGTAGCGGAGAGCTTGTCTGCAAAGGAAGACAGAGTCAGCATTGGTGTCTCAATTCCTAGCATGTCTTCCAAGCTTCGAGTCCTGGGAGAAGGACGGGATTCGTACCGTTCGGGTTCAGTCTGCTCGAAGGCCATGCGCTTGTTGTTGTCCCGAATCAAGCGGGTGTTGACAAATCCGGAGAGATCAAGCTTCTTGGGCCGGAAAAGGCCTGCCATTTTGGTCATTTTGGCGTGTTTAATTGGGGGTAATTGCGGAGTTGAGGTCGGAAAATGATTGTCCTTCGGCCAGGCGGAGTTGGTGAAAACTGGATGCCCGATCGGGTTTAGCGTGTTTAATGCAATATTTCACGCTGAGAGGCATCAAAGCCCTACGTTACTACTAGTATTTTGATAGATAGCGGTTACCGTCAGAATTCAATGAGGTAGTATCAAAAATAAGGGCTATTTTTGACTTATTGCACGGTCGCAAAGACATAGAAAAGTTAGCCCTAGGTGAAATGGCGCAGCGATGCCCCGGTGTGAAGTATAGAGTCCACAAATCCTATAGCTTTACCCATAACATAACAGGGTCCGGAATGCTCGGCTTAAGTTACTTTCCTTGCTCTGACTGATATGATATCATCCAGTAGAAGGGTTACTACGAAAGGAAAAGGTGCCTTGCTCAGAATGGTACTGGTACAGCTTGTGAATTGATCCAAGTCACCCCATCGAGGTGATTATACTCTATATGCTTGGACAGGGGCAAATTGCCCGCAGAGTAATCACAAAAAATGCAAGGCGGTCATTGATGACCTGGGCCATCCCCGTCCACCCACACATCGCGATGGTTCGTCCCGCTCCTCTTCACCGAACAAATCGGATCTCAAAATGCATTCATTGTCGACCCAATTTAGTGGTCAGCCTTGCCAGCGGGCTTAGCGTTGGGGTTGCGGGGGTCGTTCTTGTACTGAGCGGCTGTGCGGATATGAAGATTAGTTGTTTATGCTCGAAGATGCTCATCGGAGTATCGTTTTGTGGAGATTGTCGCATATGACCCCGAAACTCGTCGATGATTCATGTGTAGTGGCGCGGAGTGGACTCACTGTTGGACAGAGCGTTCTGGAGAGAGTTGACACCGTAGAGCACAAGGAGGCCTGAGAAGAGAATCGTTAGAGTTATGTTACATCAACAACCGCTCCGAGGGCGCAATGTTCGGAATTGACAATTCATGCGTTCTGGATCGTCAGGGCATTTCGGGATTTAAAGGGTATGCGTACCGGCAGCGAAGAAGGGAGCCATAGGCTGGGCTATAGGTGAACATATGCGTCAGTCGGTAGTCCTCAAATCGTTCTCCCACAAGTCGTAATTAGGGTCTAAAAAACACGTACCCAGAGCGCCGGGGAACTTCTTTCCGAGGAGAGACATTGTGACAGGTGAATCGAATGCGGAGAGAATTCGGCGTTCGGGAAGATGGTGAGGCAGGAGGACGGAAGAGGAGAAGTGAGGTTTGGGAGGTTTGCCCGGTCCCGAGGCCACGCCGCCTTAAAGGCGGTGTCATGCCGCTTTTACAGCCCGATCTATCCCGACCATTGTAAACAATCATCTCCAAATCAAGCTTCAAGTCACACAGTATGGCAGCTTCATTGTCTTCTTCAGTTACCTCACTACAGTCCTCTCTCCAGATTCTGGACAACTCTATATCCACCCTTGATGCGGGCGTGAAAGATTTCCCTCGTCTATGTAAAGTCCTCCAGACGACGCGAGTATGTTCTTCCAAAGTTTCATTCCTGAAAAGAAACCAGAAGCTATGGGTCTGACTATTTATCTTCAAATAGCACTTTGAGCTCCTACCTGAGCCTACATTGCGCGAAGCGCAGCAATCCCTCCTTGACGAAATCACCCCCAGCATCGCTCATCTTCTCACACTATCATCGAATCACGTTGAAAAGCTCGCGCGCCGTGAACAAGGCCTCAAGGCGAAATGCGACCTACAAGAAGGTCGACTCTCGTCCACCCCGGAGAGCCGGTCATCAGCTACTCGGAGCCAACCTCAAGGCAGCTCACTGCGGGGTCGCATGGCGGGGTCCGGCGCTACCTCGTCAAGTAATGCAGCAGCATCCAAAGCAGCGGAGCTGAGGAGACTGGTGCAGAAGAAGGAACGGCTCAAGTTCGCAGTCGACCGATTGGAGTTGCAGAGTACGCAGAAGCAGAGGCAGCTGCGAAAGAGTATGGCTGCGCAGTGATTGTGACCGTGTCACTTTGCAAGATAAGAATATCTGCCATTACGAAAAGCGACTGACCTGTCAGGAGCATTTGGCTCCAACGTGACTTTCGAAACTTATTTCTATCCACATGTTTCTTGACTGTGCATGCTCCACCAACTCTGGCTAGAAAAACACCAAGCCTGGAGACAGCGACTATCTTCCCCCGAAAACCGATGCCTCTCACGCCCAGTGCATTTTAAAGAACCTCGTGTTCATTGCAGGGCTCCACTCAGGAAAGGCTTCCGACCGCAGGCGCTTCTTGGGCCTGTCCCAATTCTCCCAGGTCGTGATAAGACCATGCTTCATAAGCACTTAGTGGGATCCCCAACGGCCTCCGCCAGGGCCATCTGATTAGAGAAAAGGAGGATTTACTCAGGCTAAATGACGTCTCAGATACTGTATCAAACAATCAAATACATATCATACATTGATTAGAGTGAAGATGCTATATTTACATCTGTAGAAGTGCGAGAATAATATCCTAGTGTACAAGATCCAGTTCCCAGTCCCTATGCCAAATGCTGCCGGTTAGTATTATAGTACATGTTTTCGAACCTCCAAATTCACAAAAGAATTGCGCCAAATCAAAGCCACTTATTCGTCGACAGAACGCTTGTTGTAAGCTTGACGAAGCTTCTTTTTATCATTATGCTTCTTCCAACTGGGGATATGCTGGCCCCTCTTCTTAACGGGGACATCAGGAATATCCGAATCATGGACATAGTCTTCATCCTCTTCTCCTTCGTTCTCAAAGTCACCCTCTTCCTCGGGGTCACGCATAGAATCCCTGGTCGCCGCACGACGAGCCAGACGCTCCTTCTTACCCTCACCATGCTTATCGCCAAGGTTGAGGTTGCGCGGGATGCGGGTCTTGGCTCCAAGAGCCCACAGATCTCCCCAATGAGACTTGCGGGCGTCGCGGTAGGCCTGGCGGCTGTAAGAGCGCGGGACGGTCCAGCGCTCGATTTTGCCGGCGGGTGTGCAGAGATCGAAGATGACATGGCCACGGCGTTTCATGGGTGGGTAGATGGCGCGGGGAAGAGATAGAGCGTGGAAGGCTGGTTTGTTGGGGATATCAGACTCCTCGTCCTCGAATCCTTCGAACGCGGCATCTGTAGCCTCGGGACCTTGGCGAATTGCTTGCTCTTGTCGCAGGTCTACACCACGCTGTACGGCGAGGTAGCTGAATTTGAGATCTTCGTGGTTGCGGTCTTTCGCTCCCATGATGCGCTGCAGGAATGGAGGGCGAATGTATCGCTGTTCGAAATGGCAGTAGTCCCTGCGGCCCTTGGTAGCGCCTGAGGAATTGTGCATTGGGCAGGTTGAGTGGTTGGTGCAGGGAGCGACGATCATTCCACGCTCCTTCTTAATGACCTCGCGTTGATCGGGGTCTTCGAGGAAGTTGTCGTATTCGGTAGAGCCAGGGCTTGCGATATGGCGCTTCAAGAGCATTTCACGAGCTCCAGAGATAGCCTCAAAGCCCTTCTGGCGGCCCTTCTCGAGCAGAATGAGAATGCCGCCGTTGGGGTTCAGAAGAGACCATAGGTTTTCAACGTGTTGTTTACGCTCATATTCTTCTTCAAGGCCAAGAAGAGAGTGCGGTGCGATGATGATATCGTACTGCTTGCGTTTAGGGGCATCCCGCGAGTCATCAATGGTAGGCTTCTCGCGCACATGGACGTAATCGGGTAGCCGTGGGAGGAAGGTAGTGTTTTCCAGCATGACAGCAGCGCGCACCCTAAGGGCATCGGAGCCTGTCAGCACGGTTGATCTCCCAAAGGGAATGGGGGCTCCTGCGGGATGATCGGGCACCATGAGCTCCCATTCTGCGCGGATGATGTCTCTCCAGGCCAGGATGCCGGCACCACCACCGCTGGCATCAAGAACGTTTGGCCCACCCTCTTGTGAGAGGAGACGGCGGATCCAATCGACGCCCAATCGCTTGCGAATCTCAACCATAACACTAAGTGTTGATGCGTAGATTCCAGGGTACAAGGCTGCCAGGTATGCGTTGGCCTCCATTTCTCCCATTTGACGCTGCGAAGCCTGAAGAGCGATAGGAAGCTGTGGTAATTGGGCACGCGGAGGCGCCGTTGTACTCGAATGGGGCAGACCTGGTCCTCCAAACAGGCGCCGGGCAGTCTCAGAAATGTGCTTGTTGGAGAATTCTGATAGAATGACCGATATGGGGCCAGTGACAGTATCCTTAGGCAGATGGATAGTTGTAGGATCAGTTCCGAATTTGCCCTCGAGGGTGAGCGGGTGCATTCTTGGAGCAGAGTCAGGAACTGCCTCGTTCTCAAATTCCTCGAGCATGACCTCGCCGCCCAACTGCTCTGCCACTTCTCTGGTCCGTTGCATGGCAATTGTTTCCCGCTCTTCCGAAGAAACATCCATATCATAGACGAGTGGAACATCGTCTTCGGCAACAGCGCTTTCTTCTAGATCGACCTCCTCCCATCCTCCTTGTCCATCTTCGCGGAGCAAGCTCAGATCTTCCTCTTCCTCCTCAACCATCAAATCGACCTCCTGCCGAATGATTGGTTCTCCATAGAGACGGGCGTAGATTTGAAGCTCGGCATCATCCAGCAACCCCTCTGGCACTTCATCTCCAAACCGCTGTTTAATCTTGTGTACCCATGACTCTGCGGTGTGTTCGTCTCGCTGGCTGATCAGGTCGATGATCTCGTCTGCTTCGCCCTCTTCGCTCATAATTTCCAGCTCTTCAAGTATTTTTACCATTTCTGCTTCATTCTCACCGATTCGGTCGATCAGGGTATTGATGTCATTCGATTCGATGGATTGGCTGGGTTGAGACGGCGAGTCGGCGGATGCTGGGCCTGACACAAACCTCCGCTGAGGCTGACATTGTGATGCCGTATAGTCGGAAGTGTTTCTTCGGTGTGCAAGACCGCTGGGCGCGACTAAAGGCGAGGTTTTTTGTACAAGAGTGCGTAGCTGTGTAGGCGTCAAACGATTGGC